AAGAAACCAGAAAGGAGGAGTCCAGCTGACTTATAAAGATCTTGACTTGCATGACTAAGTGGTGATGTTCATTATTTATTACAGGATAGGGAAGTCAGGAGGATGCATAGATGTGGAAGGAACCAGGGTTGCAATGGAAAAATAACCCTCTTATCTCTGGGATGGGAGGGTAATCTGATGACTTCAGGTGAGCATTCTCTACTCCAAAGCAGCTCTTTCCTAGGTCTGAGGCAAATATGCATTCACCCATAAATCAGCCTATTCACAACCCAACCTGAGATATGAGATGACTTATTCTAGACATTATCTTAGACTACATGAAATCTGAGATGAATGCCAAAGAAGAATTGGCCAAAGGTATAGGAATGGGAATCCTCATCTGTGCTTGGGTATGAAATATTCCTATGAGCTTTTTTGAGATAAGAAAATCAAAGTCTACATTCTAGTTGCCTTGTTTTGTAACTATATATACATATTCTCCATTGATAGTTTCTGGATTTTTGTATGCTGCTTGGTAAAGTTCTTTTGGAAACTCTTGACCCACCTCACATAAGTCCTTGACGGATTTTGTAAAGGCTGAATAAATGAATGAATGATTGATGAGACCATAGGAAAACTAGATAGTATTATCTGCATTTTTTTTTTAAAAAGTCCAGGGCTTACAGAAATTAAATAATTCGCTGAATGCAAAGCAGCCTACTCTCCTGCTACCCTACACTGTGCCTTAGTGTGAATCAGGAAGGCACACTTTCTGGGTTGTTGTTGACCCATAGGCACAAGATTTGGCCGATGGCATGTCCCCTGGATTTTAGGCCACATTTGCTCTCTTGACCAGGTGCCTGTGTGCAGAGTACAACCTACATATAGCATTTCAGTTGTAAAAATAATTTTGTCTCATAATTTCCTCTTCCATTAGAGATTATACTTTTTTAAGTAAAGCATGTAACTCCACCCCACACTAAATAACAGAAAAAAAAATTAGCAAGATTTCCAAGGTATTTGTGGAAGCAATTATCACCTCTGTCCTGTGTTAATACTATTTTGGAAAGAATCAGATTCGAGATGAGCTAAAGAATAAATTTATGAATAAGTTAGGTGGTAGAGATGATGACTGAGAAGGGAATCAAAAGGCTAACGAATGATAATGGGGATGTTAAATAGAAAAAAGTTCAGAAAGTAGAGACATGGAGACTAGGAGAAGACAGTAGCACTAAACCCCTGTATCCTCTGAACACAACGCTTCAGTAATTCCAGTTCCTTATGATATAAGCACTTTATCCACCTGTTCACTATTTTTAAAATTATTTATTTACTTTTATTTATTATTATTTGCTATAAGACACGTGCACTCACCAGAGAGAGAGAGAAAGTAAGCCACCAGGTCCAGGACTTGAATCACAGTCAATCATATGGGAGTCCGGCACCCTAATCACCATTTCACCCACTGGCCCCATTCATCTTCCTCTTATTCATGAGGCATTTATTGATTACATATCCAGTTCCAAGCATAGTGCTAGGCAGCAGGTATGCATTGATCAATCATAATACATGGTCCTAGTCTTCATAAAATACACAAACCCCTGAAGAAAACCAAGTACATAAACAAATCATAACATCATTTGAAAATATTGAGGAAGGAGTGTCATGAAAGCCCAGTGTTGATCATGAATAACTTTCCTAAGTGAATTAGGGGAGATATTTAATCTGGGTCTTAAAGGAGGAGCAGGAGTTTTTATGTAAAGATAATTGAAGAAAATAGATAAAGTAAAAGGAGCAGTAGGAGTAAAGTTTCAGAATCACAGAGGGGCATAGACTGTTTACTGCATGAGAAGGCTCCAACAGAGAAGACAGTGCTTAAAGCACAGAGACAAGATAAGTTTAAGGCGGTAGGTAGGAGCCAGAGGCAAAGTGCTTTACATGACTCAAACCTAGGTGAAGAGCCTCTGTTAATATCTTCCCAGAAAACACATACTAATTTTAGCATCATCACCAAACAATCTGGCATTGCTCCTTTCTTGGGAGGCCTTTCATATAAAAGGTTATACTTGTTAAGGCTGAAAGGGACCTGTTGACTCCATGGCTGTAGAGTGACATAGCTCTAGATTCAAGTATCTTTGGACAAGATGTTTCTTTCCTCTAAGATTTTGTTCTTTATCTGTACAACAAAAATGAGTGAATTTCTCAGAACTAAGGTGATGACTGAGTTGCCCAAAGAGCACCCTGCATACAGGATATACTCCATAAACACGGACATGATCCCCTTTGATCCCCTTTCCTTCCTGCAGCAAGAGCATACTTGCCCAAGAATGTTGGTAGCAGGACCCGTTTTTGTTGCAGGCCATTTGAGAAGGATTTCACAACTTAGTATCCAGATTCTATTAGGAAATATATATATATATATTTATTGGAGAATTTTTTGCTATAGGGCATGTGTGCTCGCCAGAAAGACAGAGTGAGACAGAGAGACAGAAAGCAAGAAATCACTCCCCAGGAAAGATGGACATGCCACAATTCCTTCTCCTCCATTCTCCTCTCAGGATCTTGGGCATGCATGCATATGTGCCTAGCGTGAGTTTAAGCCACCAGGTCTGGGACTCAAACCGTGGTTGACTGCATGGGAATCCAGTGACATAGCCATTATGCCAACTGCTGGTCCCTCTATTAGGAACTTCTTAAAAAGAGCATATTCAAAAACTACGTAAACTCTTTTGTTATACTGCTCACTAATGCAATGAACAGTTCCACATAGCAGGCCAGTGCCTATTATCCTGAAAAACTATGTAACCCTTCTTTATCTATTGTCACTATATTGACCTGTGAGCCTTTCTAGTGATCAGAAAAAAAAAAAAAAAAGCACAGGAGAATATTATTCTGAGTGCACTGTTCCAGGACTCTAGATAGCTATTCAAAGCAAGTTAAAATTGTAACATATTACATTCTTCCATAACTTGATCTTTTTTTTTTTTAAAAGAGATTTTTGCTATCAGGCGTGTGTGCTTGCCAGAGAGACAGAGAGACAGAAAGCGAGAAATCCCTCCGGGGATTGGTCACGCCACAATCCCTTCTCCTCCATTCCCTCTTGGGATCTTGGGCACGCATGCACATGTGCCAGGCATGAATTTTTAAGGCCCGGATCTGGGAGTCAAACCACGATGGACTACATGGGTGTCCAGCCATGTAACCATTATGCCATCTGCTGGTCCCCATGCCTTTATCTTGATCCATTGAGATGTTTTTTTCATGCTAACCTGCCTTGAAATAACAAATAGAATATGATTTTTCAATATAAATCTTTGTGAGATATTTTAATAATCTCAATCAGTAAATCACTCTCTTCCTAGTTAGGGGAAAGTATGCTTTATTATCATAGAAAGTGAAATTTCAAAAAAATGAAAAGAACCTTTGAAATTATGTATTTTAGCATTTCCAAAGGGAATCAGAGAACATGTGTGGAAGCAGAATGGGCAGGAAGCCTGGACTGGTTCTAGTGGATAAAAGCCCTTTTTATTGCCCGTAGATCCCCTTAAGTGGAGTCTAAAGAGTTGGTAATACACTCTTCTAATTAACCTTATTCGTTATGTAAGCACATTTTCACAAGGAATCTTGAGTTAGTTCTTATATATATCTAAAATTGCTTTAATATTTAAATATGTAAGATTCATTACATTCAATATGTAATTCAGAGCTCACTCCACATTAGGCACTGGAGTATAGAAAGAAAATCTCTGCATTGCCGTGTTGAAGAGAAGATGGGTAGTGAATTCATATTTCTAGAGGTATATATATTTGTATATGTGTGTGTGTGTGTGAAAGATAGCACATAAACATTATAAACTTAGTATATGCCAATCAACATTCTAATGAATTCATTTAACCCTCATATTAATTTTATTAATTCAGTGGCTATTATCACCACCCTTTAAGGATAATAATGTAGACATACCACATACAAGTCAAAAGACCTGTTCATATTTATACAACTACAATATGGCAAAGCTAGAATTTAAACATAGGAAAGCTGAATCCAGGGTCTATTTTTTTTTAATCAATACTACACAATACCCCCACTTCAGAGTATTTGTATGGTTTCCATATATTCAGGTTAAAACATTAGTTATATTTCTTTATTTTTAGTGTCTCCGGTTCCCAAAGCAGGAAGTTCCCCATCTCCTTCTTAGGAAATCCTTCTTCCCTAAAATCTATTTAAATTCCTGGGAGCTAAGAGTTTTTTATTTCCAAAAATAAGCAGGATATAGGAATCACTACTGTTCCTCATTTTCACATGAAATTGCTACTTAATGTGTATCTCTGATGAAAAAGTATACTTGATCACCTGTATTCTGTACCTGGCTGTTTCAAATCCATCAACAGACTATAACTTTTATTAATAGAGAATGATGAGGTTCCTTTACTGACAAACTTAGACAACCTAAGTTTCAAGGATTGTTTTCTTATCATCTCTCATCCCTTTGTCTTAAATCATCATCAGCAACTTTTACCTGCCCTTCTCTAGAAATATCTAATTCAAAACCTTCGCCCTTGGATAAGAACCAAAGAGGTTCCATTCCTCAATGGACTCTGTGATTTGCAGAGGCAATCTTGATAACTGCAGTCCTCTGACTGAGAGTGTGAGCGCCTTCCATGCTGAGGTTGGACTTTAAAGGTACATCATGGCCTGTAAACGCAGGCAACTATTTCTTCTGCTTTTCAACAAAATAAACTGTAATCTACCAATGCTCCAGGATAACCTGACCATGCCGGTCATATCTAGAGAAGCAATGCATTCAGTTAGTGGCTATTCAGCATGAGGTTCTCATAGAGTGTTCCCAGGGTAATTCTGATACATCAACTTGAAGCATCAAATTGGAGTCAGAAGTAAACCTGCCCTAATGAATTCTGTGCTGATTCCAAAGTGAGGTACAAGACGAGGTAAGAAAAGTGACCAATATAGACACAAGCAAGCCTCTTCTGAGACCCTAACAGGTTTCTCTGATTTACAGGATGTCTTCAGGGCCATGCACCTGGATATCGACATTGCACGACGGTACCTTAAGCCACTGCTTGTTGGAGAGCTGGCCCCAGGAGAGCCCAGCCAGGAGAGAAACAAAAACGTGAGTTAGATCCCAGGACACAGATGTGTAGAGGAATGGGGACAAGGTGTATTTTGAGACCAATTTACCATTTTATGTGAGAAACCAGATTTCCTACCTGGGTGTGCCCACAACAGAGTAAATGCATTTACTCTGAGTAAATATAATTCACCCCTGTGAATCAAAGGAGTGGAATTTTTAGTCCTGTGCCAAACAGTAATTCCATGTCTCTCAGCTTCCATTTCATGCCAGGCTACGTACACATATAATTTTTCTAAATGATTGCTTGTAATTATGTATTTCGTATCTATGTCTATGTCACCTAATAAACTTAGTACCACGAGAACAGAGAATTTGTCCATCTTGCTTATCCCTGTGTCTTCAGGACCTACGTGCACAGAGCCACACATGCAGGAGGAACTCCATAAATGTATGCTGAGTGAAAGCATAAGTAGATCCTAACTACAGCCTGTTCACGTTCAGGGAAAGTATTACTCAGGGGGAATAAATTGTTTCCTGAAAGTCCCACAGCTGGTATCAGGTTAGGACTTCGAATCACGTTTCACTGGCCCTAATTCCTTAGGTATTCCCAAGAACAGATACTATTTAAAAAATTTTTAAAAAGACAGAAAGAAGAGAAAAGAAAAGAGAAAGAAGGAAGGAAGGAAGGAAGGAAGGAAGGAAGGAAGGAAGGAAGGAAAGAGAAAGAAAGAAGAAAGAAAGAATGAATGATTAAAAATACTGTCTTTTAAAGGACATCTTTGTAAGAATCAAAATTCACTGGGATGATGCTACATAAAACTTAAAGGAGAACCATCCTGGGTGCTGGTGGTTAAGGGAGCCAAACTCCAAATGACTCACTATGAGATTCAAGCCCCAGACCCAGCTTCTTGAAAAACATACTGGTGCATGTGCGTGTGTATCCGAAATCCTAAAACGAGGTAGAGATAAACATAAAGGGACTGCAGAGTGACCATCCTCTATGGGGGAGAGGGATGCTTTCTTCCTCTCCCTCTGTCTCAGTCTCTCTGGTGAGTGCTTACACCCTCTGGCAAAATTTAAAAAGTAATAATAATAAAGCTTAAAGAGATTTTACTTAATATTGAACAATTTATTTTTTGTAATTAATATTTTTAAACATTATTTTTATTCATCATTATTATTACTTTTTAATTTGCCACAGGATATGAACTCTCATGAGAAAGAGAGAGAAAGTGAGAAGGCACATCACCAGGTCAAAGACTTGAACTGCAGTCAACATGTGGGAGTCCAGCACCTTAACTACCAACACCACCTGCTGACCCCATCATTTATTCTTTATAATAACATATTTGTCTGACTCTTAATTCCCTTTGAAATAATCAGTACAAAGTACTAACCTGTATACCACAGGGAAGCAGATAGAGATTTTATTCCCTCTTTAAGAAATGAGGAGATAGACTCACGCAGGGAACAGGGCTAATCCGAAGACACAGAACTGGGTGTGTGCAGACCTGAAACCAACATTTAGCTCACTCCTTAAGCCCATGCACATGCCCACAGCTGTGTGTCAAGCAGCATAGGTCTGCTGAGAGCAGGGAGCTCTGAGAGTAGATGGGCTAGGCTCACACCTCAACCTTGTCTCTTTCAAGTTATTCAAGTTTAGCCCAATTCCCACACCATGTCTCAGTTCCTCTCCCTGTAAAATCACAATAGTATTAACCTTGTAAGAATTATTTGGAGGATGATTTTAAATGTGAAGTCACTTAATGTTCTTAGGATAATGTCTGGAACAGAGTACATGCTCAATCAATTTTAAACGTTGTCCTTATCACAAAACCAATGGAGGTATACTGGTAGTCTACAAATCTCAAGAGGCGGCTCCATTTTTTTTTTTTTTGAGAGGTTTTTGCTGTAGGGTGCGTGTGCTCGCCAGACAGACAGAGATAGAGAGACAGAAAGCGAGAAATCACCCCCCAGGGGGGATGGCCACACCGCAATCCCTTCTCCTCCATTCTCCTCTCGTGATCTTGGACATGCATACACATGTGTCCGGCGTGAGTTTAGGCCACTGGCTCCCACGGTCGACTACGTGGGAGTCCAGCAACATAGCCATTACGCTAACTGCTGGTCCCGAGGTAGCTCCATTTTTTAAGTTAGCTGACGCAATGTTAAAAAGAGAAACATCATGCAAAACTTAATTACTTTTCTGAAAAAAAAAAATTTACCAGGAAAAGCAAACCTCACTAATGGCAGAGTCTTCTAAGGCAATTATCTTAAAGTGTTGGTCTAAAGACTTGGAAAGCACTTTGTAAACTCTACCAGTAACTATGGTAACACAGATTCAAATACAAAACCAGGTTCCCCAAAGCACAACCAGAACCAGGAGAAGCAGAGTCAACACCTGAAATAACATCAATGGTTTAAAAGGCAATTCTTAGGCTTATTGATCTCCCTACTGCTTCCTCTTCTTTTTCCTTCCCCACAAAAAAAATTAATTCTGAGTTCTATAACAGCTTTGAGGGGAGCTCACAAGTCATATTCATCTTTTTTCCAGGAAGAAAAAATTATCTTAGCCTTTTGTCAGAGACTGTGCTCTGTTTTGTTTGTTCTTAAATCCAGCTAATTAATTAAATTCACTGATTTGATAAAATTATATACATAGAATAAATGCATTGCTAAATTAATAAAAGAAATTACTGTGTCCATGTGTGTTGGCTTTCCACTGCAGGAACTAACGCTTTCCTTGGATATTTATTTTGCAGTCCCAGCTAGTGGAAGATTTCCAAGAATTGAGAAAGACATTAGAGGCTATGAATATGTTCGATGCCAACCTGGGGTTCTTCTTTCTTCACCTGACCCAGATATTGATTTTGGAAGTCCTAGCTTGGCTAATACTGTATCATTTGGGCAGTGGCTGGCTGGTTACAATATTTATTTCCTTTCTTCTCACAGTTTCTCAGGTAAGCAGGTATCCTAAGCCCCGGCAGTGTCCTCAAGGAGAGGCTCAGAGATTGTTCTCTTTGTAGACCAGTGTTAGCTGCTGCCTGGCACTTCTTAGCAAGCTATTCATCAGTGTTGGACACTTGCCAGCAAGATACCAAACCTCACTGGGCTCCATTCTCTCACCTGTAAAATGAGGACAGTAATGAATACAAAATGATTCTAAGGACGACTAAACAAGCCACTGTGAGAAACACCTAGCATTGTGTCTGTCAGATTGCATTTCATTCATTAATGACAGTCTGTATGGTTTTCCCTGCCTCATCTCCATAATATCAGTAACTGAAGTGCCATCCTTGGCCATGGAATGTTCGTCTTTATCTTTCATTCATTAACCAATCAACATTTATCAGCGCATCAGACCAGGAAGTCTTCAAAGGCAGAGATACACCTTATTAAGTAAGAGCATGTTAGTCCCACTGTAAATGACAAACAGCCACTGACACTTAGCAAGGTTTTTGATGAATTTTTCTCCAATGAAGCATGAATCTCTGAACATGAGCTTCCATAAACACCACACGGTGGTGGATGTGAAGGGAAATATGAGCTCCCTGCTCCTGAGAAAGGAACTACATAGGGAAGATAGTCATTCAAACAGCTAAACAGACTGCAGGAAAGAATGACACGAATGCCAAGGATAGAGATGAGAGGTCCTGTGGAGCAGGAAAGAGCTTTTGATTCTCCATTAGAGCAATTGGGGAAGGTTTTATAGCGAATTAATGGTAACGAGCTTCCACGTTCCAGCATTGTTTTTAATTTATTTATTATCATGATAATCTTGTTTATAGTACATTGAATCACATATAACTTTATAGTGTATTACATTTCTTTTTCCAGAAGAAATAACATGCATATCAGTCAATACAGAGACACTAAAATCCCCATTTCATCATCCAATAGCTTTTCATTATTTTTCCCAATCAAGTTCCAACATTTTGTGTGACAATTTTGTTTGTTTTGGAAGTGCCAACTTGCTTTTGTCCAAAAACTGAGACTTTTGGAAACAAGAAAGGAAGCAAATATTTGCTTGGTGTTTTGCATAATCCAGGCGCTTTACACATATGTAAATTGCACAACAGCCCTGTGAGTCAGGTATTATCAGATGTAACACTATTCCTGTTTATCAGATGTAAAACTACCATCTTCCAAAGTTACTTGTCCAGAGTCCCATAGCTAATACATGATAAACAACAGTTTGGGATGCAAATATGCCTAATGCCAAAGTTAACACTACTGGATTATTTTGACCATGGCCAGGAAAGTATTCCAAACTGAGAACACCAATTGCACAAAGATATAGAAGTTAGAACATGACATATATGTGAATTAAAAACTACACTTGGTTGGAGATCAGACAAGATCTCCCACTGTTCTCAATGAACTCTTGAAACTACAAATGGGTTTATTTATTTATTTTTAATATATATATTATTATTATTATTCATACATTAAATTGCTATATATTATTTAGATTGTAAAGAGACTTTACCCAGCATGATATACACCTCAGTCCAGCCCAGTTGAGACCACCATACATATCCTCGTCAACAGATAATAGACCTTATCTGTGTCCCATAGGTGTCTTACCTCTCTTCATTGATTTCTTCTTGAGTTCCTAACTTTCCTAATCAAAAACTTCATCTCTCCTAGGCTCAGAGTTCATTTTTGCAGCATGACATGGGGCACCTTTCCATATTTAAGAAGTCCAAGTGGAACCACCTGATGCAAAAATTCGTGATGTGCCATCTGAAGGTATGGGATGCCAAGGAAAATGGTGGGAATTCTTGAATGTCATTTGTTAAGGCAGTGGTTTCCATGTTTGCTTGATTATGCACTCATACCAATAAAACAAGTTTGTTTTTTTTTGATTTTTATTTACAATCAATCATTTACATCTTTACAGCAAGAAAAACGTTGTTTTTTTTTTCCAAGAATGAATACAATATATATTAGTCCAATCAAACATTTTATCATATACAGGAACAGCAGATGGCATAATTGTTGTCTCTGGCTTCCCACGTAGTCGACCGCGGTTTTTTTGTCCCAGACCTAATAGCTTAAAATTCATGCTGGGCATGTGTGTGTGGGTGCCCAGAATTTCTAGAGGATAATGGAGGAGAAATAACCTGGTGATTTCTCACTTTCCATCTCTCTGTCTCTTTTCATCTCTCCAGTAAGCACATGCAGGCAATGGAAAAAATTGCTCTTAAAAAAATATATGTGTTATCATCAACAGATAACTTATTTTTATGTCTGGTAAATGTTTCACCCACCCCACCTCCAGCTCTCTCAAAAAAAAAAAAAAGTGTTTTTGATAACCACAAATAAATTATAACGTACTAACAATATAGATAATACATGTAACATATCATTATAAAAACATGTTAAATTTAGAATTTTAATTTTTTATGAATAAAATATTGATTTTTATTTTAGATGCTCTTTTATTTTTCATTATCCTCATAGATCATTTGGCCTAATCCCTGAGACCCCAGTACCCTAAAGAGCCAATGCACAAAAGAAAGTCTGTGCCTTTAAAAAATGAAGATGTATACTGTAAATCTTGATTGGAAATATCCTTACAGAGGATTTATAGCTGAGAAGCTAGGGGAATCCAACAGGTTTGATTAGTCCCAGAAGGGTGGGGCTATCAAGAAATAAATAAAAAGATGCAGGAAAACAGGTAAAAGTGAATAGAACATGAAAGAGGAGTTGGTAAAGAACAGCTGGCTTTGCTCAAGAGTTGAGACTTGCAAAACCCAGATTGCTGGATGAAGCCAGTGGGGAGGATAGCAACTGGTGTTACATCCCCAGTAGAAGTTTCAGGAAAGAGTTACAAGCAGTGGCCCTATGCACCACTGCAATACAGCAACCAGGTTGTCACAGAGTAGGCCTTTAGTAAGCATTTGTTAAATGAATCGATGAACATACAGGACTTCTAAAAGTGGCTTGAAGTTCTGGCTCTGATAGTACTCATCAAATGATCTTGAGTCAATCCTATTCTAGCGCAGGTTCTTAATGTTCAAAGGTGTAATCTTAGGAGTTCAATTAGATCTCTCCATTTCTTTAACTTTCCAGTATTTGGTGACTATGTACTTAAGCCCAGAAGGAAGACAAATGCCTCTGAGCCTCCCAATAAACCATCCTTACATTCAAGTCAGACCCTTTTTGGAAAAATCTATAGGCACTTACCTAGAATCTGTGTTCTTCCCTACAGAGTGGTCTTCTTGGTTACCTGTTCTCTAACTTACAGTGACTTGAAAGTGGTCAGCTAGTCAAAGGGTAAAGATAATTTTGGAGTCCGGCCTATAGAAAGTAGCAAGCAGTAACTATGATAGCAAATGATAGGGAGGGCAAGGGGAACTCCTCTCAGATAAGATCCTTCCAAGTGTCCAGTTCTGAACTAGTGCTTTTAGGATATTGTCTTGTATTCTGAGTCCCATAAAGGGGAATGATAGTACCCCTTATTTTTTCAGTTAAGATTAGTGTTCAGTGGGGTTAACTAAGTCAATGGCCCTAAGTGGGAGAATTCATAGTACAGTACTAAATAGTACAATCTTTAGATCAGTGCTTCTTAATTCTGGCCATCATCTGGGGTCACCTAAAGAACTTTTAAAAAAGAAACTTTCCCTCTCACTGCTCTCTCTGTCTCTCCCCCTGGCGAGTTTGTGCACTCTATGGCAAAACCTCTAATAAATAAAGTTCATTGCCTTAACATAATGAATAAACGAAAAACAAACAAGCAAACAAAACCCACCAATACCCAGGCACTATCTCTAGATGTTCTGACCAAGTTCATCTGTGGTAGGGTCTGGACCTCAGCATGTTCTTAAAAGCTCCCGGTGATCTATCCTGCAGCCAGGATTGTGAACTGCTACGCTAACAGAACTGCTTTCTTTGGGAACTTAGCCACTTATTGGCTGCGTTGCTTTGCCCAAGTCACCTAATCCCTTAGAACCTCAGTTTCTTCAACTGTAAAATGAGGATGGATTTCAGAGATATTGTCAGGATTGTATGTATTATGCCCAAGATAGTACCTGCCATATGGGAACAATCTTTTCATAATCAAAATGAGTATACAGGATGAACAGGATCTTTGGCTCATGGTACCTACAGACAAAAAAAAAATTGAAACAGACACCAGAAGATAAGCAGATAGTATAGAAACTACTTTATTTAGGTAAGCAAAGAAGCAAAGTACACTTTTCTTTTTTTTTTTTTTTGCAAAGTACAAAGTACAGTCTTCAGAAGGGAGACTAGCACTGGGTTATTTGGATGGATTTCTTTTACGATGACCCTGGTTCCCTCTTCTGGTTCCCTCCTCTGGATGATCTCTTTCCTTTGTCATGGGGTGTCATCTTTGAATGACAGGAAGGGGCGTACAAACCTACACACTTCTGCACATGCATTTTTCCCAGAATGCATCTGGAGAGCCCACCAACCACAATGCTAATTTATGTTACGTGAGCAATGGTACATGCCAGTAGCGTAGTGCACATGTTCTGCCCAGAGGCAAGCAGGAGTTTGGCCTGGAGGTGGGTACAAGGCAGGCAGAGCTTTCATCCTGAGGTGAGAAGGGAGCTTTTACCCTCTTCTCTCAGGAATTGTTGACTACAGGTCAGAATGATCTGGGTCGGATTATGGATGTTGGACAGGACTATCTGCTCATGTTAAACTGCTACATAATATGAGGACCCAAAATCATTAAGAAGAATGTTTAATCATCATCATAAGAAAAAGATAAGAAAGTAGACTATAAATCACAGCATCACTGGGTTGCAAGATACTTGACATCACCTGTCCTTATCTATCTGCTTTGAGCATAATGAGGCTTAAGTTGATTAAATAGCACAGAGCTGGGTTTGGATTCATATTAGAGATATGTCTGTCCCCCAGATTGGTTAGAATGAGTAATACATTGTCACTTTATGTGGCAAGTTTTATTTGACCAGAAAATTCCTATGAATACACTAGTAGAGGACTTCAGAAAGTTTGTGGAAAAAAATGAAATGAAAGTATGAGCTTATTTTTGGTACAAAAAATTTTTGAAATTAATGCAGTTATCTAAATGTGTACTTTCCACAACCATTTTGAAGGCTCCGCATTTCCCATTCTGTACCTACCAGTGTTACATGGAGGAGGTATTTCTGAATTCATTTAGAAATATTAGATGTAGAGATTCAGGCTATCCTATCTTCCTCTCTCCTGTTCCAAAAAGTCAGAGGAAAAGTGAGATTCATCTGCCCTGGAGGTCATTGAGAGCTGATTTGTACCAGTAAATCAGATATTTCAGGTCAGCCCATTCTTGCTGACACTTTTAAAAAATCACTCCAAAAAAAAAAAAAAAAAAATCACTCCTTTCCCATTGGTCCAAATTTGTACACAGATTTTTTTTTCCTATAAAAATTATGTCTTCAGAAACAGTTTAGCACTAGTTGAAATGAGAGAACCTTGATGACTGTGAACAGAATGAGAAATGTTGCTAAAAGCAAATCAAGTGTACTCTGCCTTTTTGTAGGCAAAACCAGCAATTCATGAGTCAAATGAATATCAGCTTCAGCTACAATCAAGAGAGAAATTACCTGTGGGGAGAAAGGGTGGGTGGAAAAAAGGTGACAAAGAAAATGATCATAAGAACAGCAACATCCCACCTTATATGTGCATCACAATTTTAAATGTTAAGACTTCATTTCGCATTGATTAATTTCTCCCTCCTACAGAAGGCCCAGATTTTGAGAGTCTTGAGGGTTTTCATTCACTACCTGTGCAAAAATATACATAGGCTTGTCTGCAGTGTTGCACTATAAAAGAGTCCTTCTGAAAATAAACCATGAAATGTCTGCATACATTTTTGAATTTTTTATAACATTAAAATCAAAATGGGCTCCCTGGAGCATATCTTTAAACACTCTCCAGAATATGCATCTTGAAAACTGTAAGAAAGAAGTCTTATTGTAGGTATAATGGTACAGAATATTTGAAATTAAGACTTTCCTCAAAAAACTGCCCTGTACTGTTTCTATGACTACATTCTAAAGTATTTCACTTTGGTGGAAGGAAGACGAGAGTGTCATGTATATTTTCTGTAATCTTCTCAATAACTTCATCCATTTTACAGATAAGGAAATAGCCCAAGGTCACCCACCTAATAGATGGCCAACCAGGGATTTTAATTCATGTTAGTTTCATTCCAAAGCCTGAGTTCTTCCTACCGCACTGAAAAAGGAGCTAACTAGAAAATGATGAATGACCTACAGTGGTTTCTGTGGAGAACTTGGCTCAGGGACAGCCTATTTGGCATGTAATTAGTAATCCTTACCTGCCCATAAAATCTTTTTTCCTTTGTCTCTGGCAATAATAGCGTCTTCCAGACAGAGCAACCAAGGTGGAGTCAGCTGCTAAAGATCACACCCATAAAGATCACACCCAGTGGTCATCACTCTGACCACTGTTCTAAGGTTCAGGGCCTAGGATGTTAAGATCTGCTCCCCATGGGGCTGGCAGGTGGCATGGTGCTTAAGGGTGCTGGACTCCCACATGGCCAACCACAATTCAAGTCCTGGACCTACTGGCTTGCTTTCTCACTTTCCTTCTCTTCTCTTCTCTTCTCTTCTCTTCTCTTCTCTTCTCTTCTCTTCTCTTCTCCTCTCTTCTCTCTTCTCCTCTCTTCTCCTCTCTTCTCCTCTCTTCTCCTCTCTTCTCTTCTTCTCTCCTCTCCTCTCCTCTTCTCTCTCTCTCTCTCTCTCTCACTCACTCTCTCTCTCCCCTCTCTCTCTCTCTCTTTCTGTCCCTCTCATCAAATTTAAAAATAAATAAATAAAGGAAATAAAGTAATTCTTAAAGATTTGCTCCCCAATCTATGGGGAACCAAAACCTATCTCCCATATTTCCAATTACCACAGATGTCACTGGCTTAAAGAGCACAATCAACAGGTGTAAGAAGCCAAAATATTTGCTCTCACAAGACTTAAAAAAAGGGGGACGAGCAGTTAGCATAATGGCTATATCGCCAAACTTCCAGGTATTTGACCGCGGTTCAAGTCCTGGGCCTGGTGGCTTAAACTCATGCTGGGCATGTGAGCGTGTGTGCCTAATATCCCGAGAGGAGAGGAGAATGGAGAAGGGATTGCCGTGTGGCCATCCCCTCTGGGGCGGGGGGTGATTTCTCACTTTCTGTCTGTCTGTCTCTCTCTGTCTTTCTGGCGAGCATATGCGCCCAATAGCAAAAAAAAAAAACCTCTCAAAAAAAAAGACTTAAAAGAAGCATTTCTTTGTTTTTCTTTTTTTTTTTTTACTATTTTGATTTTATTTATTTACTTTTATAGTAAAATAACCATTTATAACATATAAACTTATGGAGTACAAAGTATGTTATAATTTATTAATACAATGTGAAATAATGAAATCAAGATAGTTAACATAGGGACCAGCAGTTAGCGTAATGTCTATGTCGCTGGACTCCCACGTAGTCGACCACGGTTCACGTCCTGGACCCGGTGGCATAAAACTCATGCGAGGCGCGTGTGCATGCATGCCCAAGATCCCGAGAGGAGTACAGATGAGAAGGGATTGCGGTGTGGCCATGCCCCCTGGGGGGTGATTTCTCGCTTTCTATCTCTCTGCCTCTGTCTGTCTGGCGAGCGCACGCCCCCTATAGCAAAAACCTCTTAAAGAAAAAAAAAAAAAGATAGTTAATATATTCGTCATCTCAAATAACATTTTGCAGTGGGAACATCTATAATTTTTCTCTTAGCAATTCAAAAATATACAATATTCCATTTTTTATATCTTTGCCAATTTTTATTTTTTATTTTCTTGTTTTATTTACACTTAACCACTGTACATCTTTGCAGCATACAAATAAATCTTCCCAACGTGAATATTCTATTAGTCCAGTCAAAGATATTACCATATATATCATCATCACCAGATAATTTTCTACTTTTGTGTCTGTTAAATGTTTTGCTTTTTTTCCCCTTAATTCCCTCTGTCCCACCTCTGTACTACCCACCCTCCCCCTACACTGTCTACAGAATCCATGGTTGCTCTCCATGCCTTCATACTTTCTAATCTTTCAGTTTTTGTCATAGAGCATAGGCATTCAGTATATATTAAGTGGGGACATACAATGCTTCTCTTTTACAGCGTGGCTTGCTTTGCTCTACTATTTTGTCCACTTTCTATCAAATGTCTGAGTCTCATTGTTTTTTATGGCTGAGTAGTAGTTCATTGTGTATATGTGCCGCACTTTCTCAATCCATTCATCTGTTGGACATTTGGGTTGATTATATATCTTAGCAATTGTGAATAATTACTTCAATAAATATGGATGCACAAGTGTTTTTTCAACTGAGTGTATTTCTATCCTGTGAGTAGACACCAGGAGCGGAATAGCTGGATCATCTCTTATCACACTGTTCTTGTTTAGTTGTCTGCCATTCCCACTAAATGATGTTTCTTACATGTGGGAACCCCATTTTATTATGCTTGTCATTATATTCCAAGTGCCTTGCTCAGTATCTGCTACATGAATCATACTTCAAAATAATGGATGGGTGAATAAATGAGTGAATGTGAAATTGTCCTATGTAATTTGATTGGAGAAGTGAGGGGGCTGCAGAAGGGGCAATAGGAATTGTTGAGTAGAATCTGGGATGTGTTGTGTTTGAGATATCATGAGATATCAAGAAAAAGTTTGAGAAATTCCTAAATATTTAAGCATAAGACTGAGGATAGAGATCTAGGCAGGAGTGAAAGATTCTAATGCAAGTATATTAGGGATTATTAGAGGTGAGAAGAGAACACTACTCCTATCAATTGCAGGTGGGGTGGGGGTTCCTAAGAAAAAACTGCAAAGACAACTATGAAAAGGCATATTAACATTACAGATGTATATTTCCTATACCCTCTATTGTATATGTATTCTAGACAAGCATATAAAAATGGCATATATAATTTTTAATTTTTTTTTGAGAGAGAGAGAGATTTTTGCTATAGGGCACATGTGCTCACAAAGAAACACAGAAAGAGAGAACATGAGAGATCACCTGCAAGGGGGCATGGCCACACCACAATTTCTTCTCCTCCATTCTCCTCTTGGGATCATGGGCATGCACACACACGCATCCAACATGAGTTTTAAGTCAACAGGTCCAGGACTCGAACTTCAGTCAACTACACTGGAGTCCAGCACCATAACCATTATGCCATCTGCTGGTCCCTCATTTTAAATGTTCTAATACTAACATTTAAAAAGTAACTTTATCTTTCCATATATGTTAAAAATATAATTTCAACATGGAAATATTTATTAATGAAATATTTTACATTCCTTTTTCTATACTGAGTCTTCACAATCCACTAAGTATTTTATACTTGCAGCCCATCTTAGTTTGACTGGCCACATTTTAAGTGCTCAACAGTCATATATGGCCAGTATCTACTATATTCAATAGTGCATGTCTTTAACAATAGAGTTGGTTATTAAGAGATGCCAAATACACAATAGAAACTACTACTGATGTTTATTCACCTGTAAATGATAAATACAAAGAGATAGTGAATATCTTACACATATAGCATCTCATATATACCTCCAAACAGTTTATAAAGGCAAATATAATTATACTGTGTTTGCTAGAGACAGAATTAAGTTTCAAAGAGGGTAGCTGATTTGCTCAAACCACACAATAGGGAATTATCTAGCTAGGATATAAAACTAGGTTGAAGTGCCTGTAAATCCTTTTCTCTATTAAAGCTTTTCAGGCTTTCAGTGAAAGAAAGTCACAACCTAATCAGAGATTATTCAAGTTTGGCACCAGCTAAAATACTTTTATTCTCATTTATTTTTACATGAGAGCATTGAAGCTAGGACGTGCAATGATCTGAGCTGAACCCCCCAAGTAGAGGAGATCCATGATTCTTTGAAATAGTGATTGAAGTAGGATATCTGTGACCACTTTATCCCTCAGAACTAATTAAAATCTTGGAGCTGAGGCTTCTTTGTATGTAAGATAGTAATGATAGTCTCTACCTACCCCATCTGCCTCAGAGTTTTTTGAAAATGGGGATCAAATAAGGTTGGAAAAACACTTTGTTTTAACAGGTTTTTATGATTTTCATTAATGGGAGTTGTTTCAGCCTGAAATCATGTTCCTGGATCAGAGAAGGATTTCTTCCTAGGCTATGAGAATTATATCCTAGGTATATAATTCCTTATTGTGGGGTTTGAGCAAATCAGCTAACCTCTTTGAAACTTAATTCCAGCTCTAGCAAATACAGTATAATTACATCTGCCTCCATAAACTGTTTGGAGGTATATATGAGGTGCTATATGTAAATGCTGGTATAGTAAGATAAAGCTCTAATAGAGCTGGTATAGCCCTGTCCAATGAGTTATACATCTAGGAGAATCCTCGAGAATATCTTATTTTGATTTTGGGTTTGCATGCACAAAACTCTGACAGTAAGGGGTTTTTCAGGAGAGAAATTTTTCAGTTAATGAATTATCTTTTTTTTTTTCCCCCCTCAGGGCCTGTCAGCAAACTGGTGGAATTACCGGCACTTCCAGCATCATGTAAAACCAAATATCTATCCCAAAGACCCAGACGTTGACATGGGCCCACTTTTTCTGCTTGGAGATTATCAACCTGTCAAGGTATATTTAGAAATGCTGAGCACCAGAGAACTGCTCCTGGAAATGTTTCCTGGAAAGGCTGAGACCAGCAGTTGGCATAATGGCTATGTCACTAGATTCCTATGTGGCCAACAGCGGTCCAAGTCCCAGACCCGGTGGCTTAAACTAATGCTGGGCATGTGTGTGTGCATACCCAAGATCCCAAGAGGAGAATGGAAGAGAAGGGATTGTGGTGTGGCCATCCCCCCTGGGGGGTGATTTCTCGCTTCTGTCTCTCTGTCTCTCTCTGTCTTTCCAGCTAGCGTACATGCCAAAAAAAAAACCCCTAAAAAAAAAAAAAAAAAAAAAGACTTAGAGCCTTGTCTTGGAGAAAACAAGCTGCAAGTTTTGCTTTACATAAGAGCTTCAGAACATCTCACCTTTTTAAGCCTAGAATATAGATTTGAAGAAGTCTGGGGTTGTAGGAATAGAAGAAGATTTGGAATCATGATTCATATCACTCTGCTTAAGCAATTCCTATGACAGGCAAGTCCCTTCCCAGTGCCTGTCACTACCAAGATAATGTGAGCCAGTGTTAGTGAAACTAGATGACTAAGGTTGGTGACAACCTTCCCAAGTTTAACAAGAATATGGAGAGACATCTACTCAGAAGACACAGGGTAGCATTCAATAACCAATAAACCACAAACACTTAAAATCTCCACTCATTCTAGCCCAGTTAGATGAGACTATGATGTGGGACCAGCAGATGGCATATGTTGCTGGACTCCCACCTATGCAGCAGCTTGAAACTCATGCTGGGTGCATGCATGTGCATGCCCCAAATCCGGAGAGAATGGAGGAGAAAGGACTGCAATATGGCCACCCCCCCCAGGGGGTGATTTCTTTTTTTCTGTCTCTCTGGAGAGCACACATGCCCTCTAGCAAAAACCTCTCTCTTTAAAAAAAATAAAAGAGAGAGAGAGAGACTATGATGTTATTTTTAATTCATGTTCAATTCATTTATGGAGAGGGTTGGTTTTTGGTTTTTTTTTTTTTTCGCTATAGGGTGCGTGCACTTGCCAGACAGAGAGAGACATAGAGACAGAAAGCGAGAAATCACCCCCCAGAGGGGATGGTCACACCGCAATCCCTTCTCCTCCATTCTCCTCTCGGGATCTTGGGCACGCACGCACACGCGTCTGGTGTGAGTTTCGAGCCACTGGCTCTGGGACACAAACCGCTGTCAACTACGTGGGAGTCCAGCGACATAGCCATTACGCTAACTGCTGGTTCCCTTGGTTCATTTATGCATGAGCCATGCAGTTCCAATTCCTTGTAAGACAGCTAGAGATTCCACCTCCAATTTGGACCTCTTCAGAATTTCTCACTCATTAATATTTTCTTAAACTTCAATTTAAAGTCATTATGTAAACAACTACTTAAATTTCCATGTTTTAGGGGACAGAGGAGATATAAGAATAATCAAAGGAAAGTAACTGTCCTCTAGGGAAATACTGAATCCTGAGTCAGATTCATAGGCAGGGGTTACTAGTACCTTCTAGGAAAAATTTAAGAGTTTTATAAAAATAAATGAATATAGCTTTTTAATTTTTTGCCTGGTTCTATCCAGTATATAAAACACAGATTTTGAAAGTTTATATATAATATCATTATGCCTTAGGGGAATAAAAAAGTCACCCACCATGTGCAATTCAGGATCAAAGTGCAAATGAGGAAAGATGGAACAGATAAAAGGGGAGATACTTACATCTAGTATCATATGACCATTCAATAAGTTGGATGAATAAATGGCATTAGAGCCTGAGTTTCAAGCTTAATTCTAAATATTGATTAAAGGAGATCCAGAAAAATTCATCTGAAATGTCCCTTTTCAGTCACTGTTCCACCTCACATAAGTATAAAACAATTTCAAAATGACTCTCATGGGAATAACAAAAGAACCTCAATCCCCATAACCCACCTGTTCAAGAGTTTCACACATTTAATTAAAGCAAAAAGATGCCAACATTTTTCCTCCTATCCCAATTCTGGTTTTTCTAGTGCCTAAGATTTGACAGGCAGTGAATAATAATAATAATAATCAGAAGGCTCATTCCATAGTGATTTTGAACACACTCACACAGACACACACACACACACTCACAAATGTCCTTGAGTGCGATGATCAGAAATATTGTCCCTTATTTTTATTTTATTCTCTCTTTATTCAGTATGGCAAGAAGAAAATCAAATACATCAACTACGAAAAGCAGCATCTGTACTTCTATATAGGTGAGACTCCTGGAGCTATATTTCTTACCATCCTATTTCCTTGAAGCAAGCACTTATCAAGATAGAAAGCAGCATTGTAATTCTCTCACAGAGACTTGCCCAGGTCTTCTTACTGAAAACATCAGCATGTCTTATTTCAGGCTCACAAGAGTGAAAATTTGAAAAGGAAAATGGAAAAATGAATAAGCATTTGCAACAGGCTTCTCATCACATTAGGTGTTGGGCAAGGAAGGAAGGTGAAATTCCAAGAGAAAGGGAAGACAGGTTGGCCATCATAGAACCGTACAGCAAGGACTCTTATCTTGAAAAAGACTAAGTACCCACCTCAAAAAAAAAAAATAAAAAAAAAAAAAAGGTATCTGGATAGGGAAGAGACATGGGGAAAAAATAATGCTGAAACATTTACAGTGTGATGCCAGAAAAAGTGGAGGGCCAGCAATAAAAGGCATCTATAGAACTTCAGTGTTAAAGGAAACCGGCTTTTCCCACGACCTACATAGAGTTGATATGTGATTCAGATATATATATCTGAATGTGGGCATGTGAACTGGGATGAAAGAAAATAAGGGCAGCTCAGCAATTCTGATACCAATAAAAAAAAAACATCATAAGTAAAGGGCCTTTTCTCTTAACGCAAATCAAATTCATGGCAGCTCATTAAGTGAGTTTTCAAGAGACCCCCCCCCCAAAATCTGCCAATCTAAAACACATGTTTGAATGATAAACTATTATCGAGGAAAGAACTGAAAATTTTCTGTAGACCAGTGATTCTTAATCAAGGACAATTTTGCACTCTGAGGTACATTTGACCTTATTTAGGGACATGTTTGATTATAATGGAGGGAGAAGGGTGATACTGACATCCAGTGAGTAAAGAAGAGGGATGCTGTGAAATATTCTGCAGTGGACAGGGTAGCCTCTCTTAACAAATAATTGCCTTGCTCAAAATGCCAGTGGTTCTGGGGTTGAGAAACACGGTTGCAAATTATCTGATTTGCCCAAGTGTAGAGCCACTAGTAGTCACCTGCACTAGGGCTGAAAAAGGGGGCTAGTGGGTGAATTTCTAAAATGTAGGACCAATGATCAATGCTGCCACCTCCACCACTGCACTCAGCCTCCCCCACTCCACATTTGTCACCCACTTCTCTTTCATGACTAAAGAGAAATGAGGACATCAGCACCCCATTTTGAAAGGCAGATGACCCTTAGCCTAGCTAGATGTAGAGTTGCACAAGAAAAAGTCTTTGGAGTTTCTTTTCTGAACTTTCTTGAGAAATTTGTCTTTACCCCCCCTTGTCCACAGTGGTGCAATATAACCTTACTTTATGAGAAATCAATGCATCAATGAGAGGCAGGAATTCTACAGAATGACCATCTCACAAATCGCACTGCCCCCAAGAACTATTTCATTGTGTTCTTTTCTTTTAAATGACAGCTTAGCACCTCAGGTACAAATGAGTCATGCTGAGACTGTCAAAGAAAAAGAGAGCTGGACATTTGTTAAAGGTGACAGGATAGATATTTTTCAGCTACTTCAATAAGGAAGAGGAACTTCAATATGAAAGCAAAGTACTGAAAGACATTGTGGGGTTTGGGAAGGAGTAGGGGAGTTGGTCAGTGTTAGGTCAGACCACCTGTGTCTGCTAACTGGTGTCTACTTAGTCAAGCTCCTACCTTCCTCCAGAGACTGGGAGGCCGAGACCCAATCCTTCTTGATCATTTCAGAGAGATGGCTTTTGGATCCTTAGAAAAAACATTTCTGGGTTATAGAAGATAAACCTAAAGAAAGAGGACAAAGATTTGACACTGTATGTTTTCTAAAGTAAATACTGCAAGAAAAGGAATATAGGTGTCTATAGTCAGCATTTGACTTGAACAAATAGCCTTAAGTTTCTCAGGCAGTAACTTTAAGGGAGCTGGGGTCTTCCTAGAACCATGGCCTTGAGCTGCTAAAAAATTATGCTAGTGTTTGTTCACATTTCTTAATGTAGGAAGTGGATAAAATTGTTTGTGCTGAGTGGTTGTAGTCCTCATAGGCCAAGGTTGAGGCCTCACTGAGAAGACAGTTCAAAAGACCCTAACTAAAGTTTGGTCAAGGGGAGTATTTGTCACAAGCCAAAGAGTTTCCATAAAACTCCTTTATGTTCTAGGAAGCCTCTCCTGCCTGGGGAGAAGTAGCTGAATAACTCTTACCAAGAAATGAGTATATCTTATTTCTGTAACCCCAACATAATAGAACAGGGGAAACAGAAATACGCCAAGGACCCTGAAAAAACTTGAAAGTTCGAGGCAGGAAATGTACAGGGATGCCTCTACCAAAAATGATTCTGATCTTCAAAGCTACACTACCATCTTCAAGGAAGATTGAACCTGGAATCACCAGGCAAATTCTTAGTACAGCCTGGTAGACATGGCAAGTCCAAGGGAGTCCTGAACAGGGGTATAGATCTGCACTGTGTGTTGTTTCTCAGAGTATGCATTCTGAGACTGGTATGTTAGAGAGAGAGGCGCATACTGATGTCCATGGGGTAACATTATGCTTATTTATTCAGTCTTCGTTTGCTGTGTTTCAGTTGGGCTCCCGCTGCTCATGCCTGTATATTTCAACCTACAATCCATGAAAATAATGTACTTTCATAGATATTGGGAGGTAAGTAACTTGGGTCATTTGCTGAAACTACACCAGGTACAAGGGAAATGAAAATGTTTGTTCCCCTCCAGATGTAGCTTCCTTGAGTAACAGGGCATGAGATTTAGCCAGTACATGAAAAGGCCCTTGCCCAGTGTAAAGGAGATAAAATTATGTTCAGGGCATCTAACTTTAATGTGTTTCTCTTTGCAGGACATTTTCTGGGTCAGCAGCTTTTACATCCGCTATTTCATCACATTTGGCCCTTTCTATGGAATCTTTGGAACACTGTTGCTCATGTATTTTGTCAAGTAAGAATCTTTCTCATTCCCCTAATCCATTCAGCACTCCTATCTTCTATATCACAGTTGTTTATGAGTAGCAAAAGATTATGACACTATGTCTCATTCCCTGGAACTGAGCTGTTTTCAAGCATATGTGAAAAGAAAAAATAGTTAAAATACTTAGACTAATTCCTGGTGAGAAAAATTTGCCTAATCTCCATTTTTTCCCCCACTTGCGTAGTTCCCAATCGAAGCATTTTAGCTGATCATCAGATCCTTTAAAATGGTGAACTAGTTGGACATAAAAACCCCTAAACATAATGACAGGACAAGAATATTTTACTGAGTGAATGAATGAGTGAATGAGAGAAAGGTACCCTTGGCAGGATTTCACACATCATGATCCTCCCTGCAAACTTCCAGTCAGTCAGAATCCCAGGCACACTAAGCATGCTCAGGTTGATCCAGGATCCAAACCCAGGACCTTTCATGGTTTCAGTATTGCACAGTGGTGCCCTATTACCTATGCCACTACATCTGAGTCAACAACTTTTTAGAGAGGAGGGGGAGATATTTACTATATGGCAGGTGTACTGACTGCAGAGACAGAGAGACAGAAAATGAGAAATCACCTGCCCCCCCGCCCCAGGAGGGATGGCCATACTGCAATCCCTTCTCCTCCTTTCTCCTTTTGGGATTTTGGTCACACATGTACATGCATTTGGCATGAGTTTCAAGCCACTGGGTCCAGGACTTGAACTGTGGTTGACCATGTGGGAGTCCAGTGATGTAACCATGACAACATCTGCTGGTCCCACCAACAATTTTTTAAAATTCTTTTATAATTTTACATTTCTTCAAAACTAAAATGAATAACACTCTCCAAAGTATTCATCCTTCATTCTGTTGCATTATTATTTTAAATCCTAAATAATTATTAAGACAATAATAGCTACACTGCATCCGGTATTTTGTTAAAGGCTTTACATGCACGATCTTATTTGATGTAATCCTCACACAGCCCTGCCATGAAGGTAGTATCATTCTTCTACTAAGGAAACTAAAGTTCAAAGAATTAAACTGCTTCCCCAAAGGTATAGAGCAAATAAGGACCAAGGGAAGTGCCAAAACAAAACTTGGACTCAGCTCTATCTGATAACAAAGCCCAGGCACTTTGCATATGCCCTTAGTTCCTGTGGTATTTTTGATCCTTAAGCCTGAGCTACAGAAAACTTTCGAGACACCGTACATTTTTACGGTGAGGCAGATCATGTGGCAGAATAGTAGATGCGTCATCTCTTGAGGAAAATGAATGACCATCATTTTACTGGAACTTTTGAGTTCCTTTTCTACCCTCCAAGGCTCGCCAACTTTTCCGGGAATTATGCAAGGCCAGTGATTGCAACTGCAACGCCAGAAAGAGTCATCACTTCCTCCTTTTATTCTATGAAAGGTTCCTTGAAAGTCCCTGGATTGTATATGTGACCCAGATGAGCCACATACCAATGAAAATGAGCAAAGAGGAGAACCGGGACTGGCTCAGCACTCAGGTACTGGTGAAGCTCCTGAGGGAGAACCGTCAAACCAAACTGATTCAGAATCTGCTCACCTCAAATAACATCACACCCATGTGCTTTGCATGTATCTACATCAGGCAGGCGCTATGATTAGTCCCAGTTTACAGATAATAAAGTTGAGACACAAAGATGTTCATTATAAGGTCGCACTACTGGTATGTGGTAGAGGCAGGTTTTAAACCTAGGCAGTTTGATTATTGAGCCTTTGCTCTAAACCAGCTACACTCCAGAGCTAAATCTTGTCCACTGCCTGTTTTTATGAAGCTTTCTTGGAATGAAGACATGCTTGTTCATTTATGTAACATCCTTGACTGCATCCATGCTACAGCAGCAGATTTGAATAGCCGTAAGAGAAGTAAAATACTGTCTGGCACTTTTTAGGAAAAGTTTGCTGATCCTTATACGTGATTGATTTTCAGGTGAATTTGAGACTCATAAAATTACCCTCAAAATCATCTTACTCATATAGATAGAATATCCCAGGAAGGAGACATGGCATGCTCTTCAAGCATGCCATAAATGCTTCACAAAATTGTGAGCAGTACAGAACACCCCTGCCTCCTAAGCCAGGGTCCCTTCTACTGGCCAAGCTGTGATTAACAAGGGAATTCAGTCATTATCTTGTTTCTTCTCCAAGCTCAGACTCAAATTCAGTGAACCCTCTCTGGAGCATAGAGGAGTGGTTCTGAAAATTTTTGGTCACAGAGGCCAGCAGGTGGTGTGGTGATTATGGCATTGAACTGCCACATGACTGACATGGTTCAAGTTCCAGACCTGGCAGCTTGATTTCTCACTTTCTCTTTCTCTCTCATCAAATTAAAGAAAAATAATAATAATAAATAAAATAGAACAAAAAAAATTTTGGTCACAGAGCCACTTTTTTTTAATCTTTCAGTTTCCATTTATTTATGTATTTAATTATTGGCTAGGTTGAATGCTTTTCATATATTGATTGGCTCTTTGTATTTCTCTTTCTGTGAATTGCTGACCAATGCCCTTAGTGCATTATTCTACAGTCTCTACCATAATTCTACAGTCTCACTCCCACCCTAGTCTTCCATATATAAGGACCAATAGTGACCTACCCCTCAGATTTTACATACTCTTCTATATCTATTGCTTTATATGTGCTTTACCACAAAATGTCTTGTTGCCTTTTATAATTAATTCATTTTATTTGAGATTTCATCATTGTACATCTTTACAGCATACAATATGGTTTTTCAAAACATACATGCATTAAAAAAACATGCATGCATTCTATGTCAATCAATTCAAGGATATTACCATATATATCATACTCAGCAGATAACTTTACATTCTTACATCTGTTGAATGTCTTTTTACTGAGCCTCTCCCTCCGTCCCCCAGCACACACCACTGCCGATATAGTCCCTGGTATCTACACTTGCCATCCCTGCTAGTATAGCTTCTGCTCTTTCAGTTTGTGTTATGAAGTGCAGACATGGTAAGCTCCCAGAATTGGGATAGGATATATATATATATATACACACATATATACACACACACACATATACATATATACATATATATGTGTATATATACATATATATTTATAGCCCATAATTTCTTACCCCAAAAATATATTTAATAAACATTTATTGAATGATTAACTGAATAAAAGAGTAAGTAAGCATTTTCTTTGTTTGACATGGGGGCCCATTTATATCTAATGGAAGTTTTTCTTTTGCAGGTCTTGGCCACCTGTAATATTGAGCAATCCTTTTTCAACGACTGGTTCACTGGGCACCTGAACTTCCAAATAGAGCACCAGTGAGTAATAGAAGCAGTCCATGATAGGGGGGAGTGCAGTCACTTATAACAACACAAAATTCAACCTCTAAACTCTGGATGTCAGAGGAGAGAAAAGGCTTTCTATTAGTGTCAGTGGTTAGGAGAGAAAGGAAGATGTAATAACTGTGAGTAAGTGGAGTAGAATCTTAGAAAAGAACCAATGACTAAGTCTCCAGATACCTACAGGCTTGGGAATTGGTGTTTGTATTATGTCTATTTGGTTTATAGATGAAACCTAAAAAAAAAAAAAAAAAAAAAAATCCTCTTGGATAACTTAGTTGTGTTAAAATTTAATTATGATTTAATTTAAATATCTATCTCTTCAGCGCTAGTTACAAAGCAACCAACAATGCAATCCTGTCCATGTTGCAATGTTCAGATGGTATCTGTTAATGCTTACCAATGGGTCAGTTAGGAGGACATGAAATAAAGAAGAAAAGTAATACTTGAAAAGTTCATCTTTCCAGAATATTCAGAAGAGAGACTTCCCATCTTTATCTAAGCCATAACTGGGATACTCAAAGGAAAGAGACTGTATATGTATTTATAGGACTTTTCATACTATTTTTCTCATTTTATCCTTAAAAACCTCAATAAAACAAAAAAAAAAATGGATGTTTGTTTATATTTGTCAAAGAGAGAGTTAAAAACCAAGGTCACCTGGTGGATTAAAGGAAAGCTTTAAACGAGATCCATATCACCTCATTTCTTATTCTTATGCTGGGACTTTCCCCCCACACATCTTAACTAGAAGTTATTGAATAGTCATCTCTTCTATCCAAAAGTCAGATGGATAGAAACAAAAGACAGAGGAGAGAGAGAGATGTAGAAGCAAAGTCAGATGTGGAGTGAGGAGTACCTCCAGCTCTCCTGGGTCTTCTAAAATGATAGACATCCCACGGCTTCATTTAACCTGGTCCAAAATAAACATATTTGTTGATGCTAATGTGTATTCTATTAGCATTTCCCAAATATTTGTCACCTACATGGCTCACGGAAGTATTAAGAAATAATACTTGGTAAGAGTGTTCAAATGTCCCAGAAGTGTTGTGCAAAGTCAAGGTGAGGTCTGCATGGCTGATGTAATTCATTTTGATAACAGAAGAGGGAAAACACCTCTGAATTTCCCTTTATACCTAAGTCTTCTCTCTCCCCTCTGCTTCCCTAGTCTATTCCCAACTATGCCACGCCATAATTATCACAAAGTGGCACCCTTGGTGAAGTCACTGTGTGCCAAGCACGGACTACAGTATGTGAATAAGCCCATGTTGAAGGCATTTGGAGATATCGTCAGGTAATAACATAATTTTTCTCAGCTCACAACTCTTTCTCCTTCATTTCTACTGCCCAGACTAGCATTTACTGATTTGTGAATCATTAATCCCACAACCATTTATTAAGGGACACCAGTGTACCCAGTATCTAAAGCAAATTCCTAGAAATATTTTCATTTTCATTTCAAATTTGCATAGACATAAGACTCTACAAGAAGCAGTATCAACAACAATAATGATAGTACTACTACTTATCATATACACATTGCCGCCAGTATTCCTCAGTGAAAATGCCTTGTAGCTTTCTAAATTTCAAACTTCAGGAAGCAAATACATATATTGTGCTTGTATTCCCCCAGAGAGCTTCCTAAACACTTTAGAACTTAGCTGGTGGGAGAGATCACATCATCTGATTCTACATTGCAAACTTAGATGCCTACAATTTCCTGCAGGACCTGAATGGGTGAACCAGGCTGGGGTGACTGAGTGAGAGTAATGAGGTACACAGCAACTAAAAATCCATACCCATCTTTAAGCACTCACATTTCATTTCCTAGATAACATGGCGCCAGCCTAATTAATAGCCAGTAGTCTGGGTTTAATAACTTGCTCTTTCTTTTAGTACTAAGAAAAAAAGAAAAGTATCTTGAATAAAGCCTTGTCTAATGTCTGACTATTGTTCCCCCTTTAGACTCTCCACTGCCCCCTCTTCCCTCTCTACCCTCTAGATATCTGAACCCTCAGTTGATACAAAATTCTATGCTTTGGGCCATCTCATTCCTTTGCCACTTTTTCTTATGCCTAAAATGTTCTTCTAAACCACCACCTTCCCTGACAGCCTTGCACAATTCCCATTTACTCTCCAAGGCTCATCTCAAATGTGTTTATTTCATGTCAGTCTTTACTGACCTCCAAGTCTAAATCGATAGCATACTTTTATCTTGCAGTACCCCATTCCCTTCATTTGTAGCCTTTATCACAATCATGATTAAATAGCATCTGAGATAATAAACGATTTAATACATGTTTCCCAAGCTATACTAGGAACTCCTTACAGAAGGACTTATATCTGTCCTGTCTTGCTATATGCCCAGACCCTAGAAAATTCTTCCACATTATAGAATAGGATTGGTACATGGATATAGGATGGATTTGTACATGGATATATCTATATAGAAAAGAACCCCAAAAAATTCCATCTCCTCCACAAAGTGAAGTTACCTGCTAAAAATGCCTTAGTATATTTGATTCCTTTATAATGGGTAACAGAAACAAGTATTCATCAAATATAGCTGGAAATAACATTACCCTGAACCAGGCAGGGAGGTAAATATTCCATGGAGGAGCTTCTTTTACATTAGAGTCTCACCTCCTAATGCTTTTATTTACTCCTCCCACAGGGCCTTGAAGAAATCTGCAGCCCTCTGGATGGATGCTTACTATGAAACATGATGCATAATGTCAGCCTGAATGCACAATGTAAATGCATCTCTGAAGGGAGTTGGTGCATATGCAAGAGTTCTTCCCCAATTAGCATCATTTGCACGCCTGAGTGTGCTAGACATGTGAACCCCAAAGATAGCTCCTTTCTTGAAGTTCTACAAATAAGAAGAAGCCATTAAATACAAGATGACTTTGGCTAGGGTGACAAAAGGAAAATGAAAGCTCAATGTGTTTCATCAGGATCTTGAATTTAGTTCTACCAAAAGACCTTAGTTGAATCATCTCAATCAGGGACACACATACAGGAATCAGTTAAAAATTTTATGCGTCAAGTGAACACAGGAAGAAGTTGACCAAAGTAGAGACATCTGATGGAGTACTTTGGGAAACAGTGCAATTGCTTATGAAAGAGAATCATATATTTAAGAACTGTTGTGCTATGAAAGCATAAAAATTTTGCTTATTTCTTTTGAAATGCATAGACTTCTCTTTAAAAATTGAGTATGATTAACATTAAAATGTATGGGACACAGAAATGGATTATTATGTGTTGATGATCATGTGTATAGTATCCTCGACTGAACTGGTGTGAAGTGTATTCAAGCTGGAAAATCCACTTTACAAACTAAGTGATATATCATGATTGAATGTATAAAACAAATTAAAATAAGTTTCTAAGAAAATGTCTAAAAATATTTAACATTCATTTCTCATTTTCACTATTGTACCTGCATATGTGCAACTAGTGTATATATATCATTGTGTTTCCAAGTGGAAAAATGAGTTTCTCTAAAATCTTTGACAGGAACTTCCCACACCCAATAGCTTCTGATGAAACAGGTTACCCCTCTCTGGGCAAACATACTACCTCAAACTCATTCCACCCTCATTGTCAAAACTAGCCCACTTTGTAGTTCTCCAGAGTTGGTTACTGTACAAGTCTAAAGAAACCTGGGAAATTAAGACAGATTATGTACAGGTAATATGTGAAATCAGTCCAAAAAAAGTTCTAGGTCATCTATATTTAAAGAAATATTGTGTTTGAAGAATAGATTGTCCCTTGAGTATAAAATCTGGTTGGCTGCCAACTCCCTTACCCGCCACAGCAGAAATAATTAATTCTTATCCTTACTGGGTCACACTAACAAAATGGAAAAAAAAAAAAAAAGCTTTGTTTTTATGTCAACCTCAGCTTATATCAGGGTATTTTTCCAGTGTGACTCCAAATTAAGCATGGCTTAGGAAAAGAGAGTTTTTTCCTCTTGCAAGAGAGTTTCAGTGTTGGAAGGTTAAGTGGACATTTAGTCTAGGGTCTATTTGCTAAGTTATTCAGGGGGTGGGAGGGACTTAAAGCTGAACCTTAGCTGCAGAGAGAGAAACTATAATAGCATGAACTTCCTTCCCCAGCTCCAAACATATCAGCTTTATTTGTTAATATGTTGTCTGAAATTCTCTGTAAGCTTTCATTCCCATATTCCAAATTCTGAAAAATACTCTTTGGGTTTGTTTGTACTTTAATTAAACCTCTGGTGAACAGCAACACATTAAATCACTCACACTCTTGGGGAGTTATCCATGAGCAAAGTAAAACTGGTTGTCTGAGAGGAAGAGGCACTGAAATGATGATAATATTAAATAGGAAAATTGACCAGGGATAAAAATGAGGAAAAGCTATATAGACTTTGTTTTTTCTTTATAATAGATGTGGCAAGAGCCCATCTTCTTCCTGTTGGTGGATTGATAGATGACTTCTTCACCCAAATTCATAGTTACTCATGAGAGTGGAGTACAGTGGTTAGTTTTCTGTCTCACCTGATCAAATGCCCAGAGATTCTCCAGCACTGTTTTTTGCCCTGATTACCAGCAATCAGACCCTTCCCTGTACAAATTTACTACCTTAAAGTCATTTCCCACCCAGTGTCAAAACTAGCCCACTTTTGTAGTTTTTCAGAGGTAGTTACCATACAATTTTTTTTTTTGAGAGGTTTTCGCTATAGGGCGCGTGCACTTGCCAGACAGAGAAAGACAGACAGAGAGACAGAAAGCAAGAAATTACCTCCCAGGGGGGATGGTCACGCCGCAATCCCTTCTCCTCCATTCTCCTCTCGGGATGTTGGGCATGCACACACACGCACCCAGCGTGAGTTTTAAGCCACCAGGTCCGGGACACAAACCGCGGTCGATTACATGGGAGTCCAGCGACATAGCCATTATGCTAACTGCTGGTCCAGTTACCATACAATTTTAAAGAACCCTGGGAAGTTTAGACAGATTATGTAGGAGCAGAATGTGAAATCAGTCCTAAAAAGGTACTAGGTTATCTGGTACTGAGATAGAATTTAGACCTTTCGACTCCACTTAACAGGTAGAAGGGAAAGGACCCCAAAGAGAAGTCTCTGTGGGGATCAGCAGATAGCATAATGGCTACGTCACTGGATTCTCATGTAGTCAACCATGGTTCAAGTCCCAGACCCAGTGGCTTAAACTCATGCTGGGCACGGGTGTGCGTGCCCAAGATCCCGAAAGGAGAATGGAAGAGAAGGGATTGCGGCGTGACCATCCCCCCTGGGGGGTGATTTCTCACTTTCTGTCTGTCTGTCTCTCTCTGTCTGTCTGGCGAGCGCACGCACCCTATAGCAAAACCTCTCCAAAAAAAAAAAGAAAAAAAAAAAGTCACTGGTTTTCTTTTTAATGAAGTCGCTGTTTTTCCTCTATCTTCTGATTAATATACTATATACACCCCCTTTACACGTCTCTAAGGAATTTATAAATCCTTGTTAAGAAGGTAGGAAATAGGATATTAACCACACAGAGTAAAGACCCAAGATGGAGTCACCATGCCTAAGTTTTTGTTTTGTTTTGTTTTTGGAGAGGTTTTTGCTATAGGGTAGGTGCGCTCGCCAGACAGACAGAGAGAGACATAGAGAGAGAAAGTGAGAAATCACCCCCCAGGGGGGATGGTCAGGCCGCAATCCCTTTTCCTCCATTCTCCTCTCAGGATCTTGGGCATGCACGCACACGTGCCCAGCATGAGTTTTAAGCCACTGGGTCCGGGACGTGAACCGCGGTCGCCTACATGGGAGTCCAGCAACATAGCCATTATGCTAACTGCTGGTTCCCACCGTGGCTAAGTTTTCACAGCCAATCGCTGGCTGCATTGAGACTCAAAGCAACTGTAGCTAAGGGCAACCGTTTCTATTCAGTAACTGTATTCTAACAAGAAGTACAAAAAGCTATGATCTGCTGATCCCACAAAGAATAGGATAATAAAACACTCAGACTACCATGTAACCATTTTCTAAAGCCCACTTTCTTATCAGAAGGCCAGCCCATTGCTGGACTCTAGATAAAACCCCCTCGCCTCCAGCACCACTTCGACAAACTGTTTGGGCTCCCTTCCACTACGCTAGACTCTTGTTCTCCTTCCCTAATAAACTGCACTTTACTCTTCTATGTGTCTGCATCTCTAATTGTTCATGAGCATAGGACAAGTACCAGCACTCCTACATCAGTACTGGGCTTTTATTTATTGGGAGGTTTTGATTATTGCTTCAATCTTCTCACTCATTATTGATCTGTTCAAATTTTCTATTTCTTCATGATACAGTTTTGGTAGACTGTATATTTCTAAAAATGTATCTGTCTTCTAAATTATCCAATTTTGGGGTGCATAGTTATATTCTGTTATGATCTTTTGTATTTCTCTGGTTTAAAAAAAAGATGGAAACTAAACAATGTGTTGTCTAGGGATCTGTAAACATGTAGTAGCATTATAAAGAGAACCAATAGGATAGTAAATACAAAATTAAGGATCACGATGTCAGAAAACAAAACTATTATTTAAAGATCTTAATTGGCTTTATTCGGGATTCCAGAATCCAATCCCACTTCAGAACCTAAAATAGAATCAATGTCAATGATCTAAACAGAGGAAGTTGGTATCATGGACAGAGAAGGGTTGATGAAAGCATTAAAGAGGAACAAAAGGCAGATTAGTCATGATAATTTCTTCATAATGTAAGGACAGGGATACAGAATAATAAGGAAATAACTGAGTACTTAACATCAAGTTACTTCTTTGTGTAAGGATTAAAACAGGAAAGTTCTGTATCATGAACTTCATTATCAGAGGGAGCGTCATTATCAGATTCATATTTTTTCACGTTCATGGTCAAAATTGGCGTGTTTGGGAAACTGAACTATTATTTCTCTCTGCTGATTTCTCTGAAGATCAGTTAACTCAGTTTTGGCCTGCAAGTCATGAGTAACTTCATATTAATTTTTAGACTGGTCTACTGGGCCTTAGGGCAGGAGATTAGTCCAAATAATGGCCTCCTACAATTTCTACTCAACAATGGGAGAAAAATAATACTAGCTTTAAAACAAAAATTTATCCATAGAGTAAATTCATATTTACTTACTGAGTTACCTGTTAAATCATCTTTTTCCTAAATTTACTGTCTCAACTGATTTTTTTCTCTCACTCTGTGGTGACTGCTATTTGCATATGGCAAGGCACTGACCACTTCTGTTGGTCTTTTAGTATGCTTCTCATTAAAGGAGAACCAGAGACCAACAGATGGCATAGTGGTTATGTCTCTGGACTCCCACATGGTCAACCGTGATTCAAGTCCCAGACCTGGTGGCTTAAAAATCACTCTGGGTATGTGTTGGTGTGTGCCCAAGATCTTGGGAAGAGAATGAAGAAGGGAATTGCGGTGTGACCATCCCTCCTGGGAGGTGATTTCTCACTATCCCTCTCACCATGTCTGTCTCTTCTCTCTTTCTGCTGGGAGCATGTGCCTAAGGCAAAAATCTCTATATTAAAATAAAATAAAATAAAATAAAAGCCAAAGTCTGTTGTTTTCACATCTAGACTACTGGGCACTGAGTTAGAATTTAGGTGGCCATCCTATGGATCATTTTATTTCCATCCTTTATGCAACAGGGCTCTATTGTATAGACATGTAAATGAAGGTGCCTTAGCCAGGCTCCTGCCTGTTTAAATGAAATGACTCATGAAAACTCTCTACCAGAAACTTTCTAATGGATTTTCATGGCTCTTGGAATAAAGACTAAAGCCTAAGGCTTCCCCAAGTGCTATGCCATAGCTTTTACCACTCTTGCTCTTGCTCCTTCTACTTCAGTTCCACTGGCTACTTTCAACTCTTCCCACCCCCTTCTGCACTGGATTTTCATTTCCAATCCCAATGCCTGAACTGCTCTGTCACTCTCCCTGTCTTTACTTCATCTCACCCTCTTTAAGTCACCAGTTACCTTCCAATCTCAGCACCATCATCCCATCTCAGGATAGCTTTATCCACTATCCCAGAGAAGCTTTTCCACTTAGTCAAGACCTTCTGTGGTGAGCCCTTTAGCAATTATCACGGATATAAAATTGCATTCATTTATGTTATTTTTCAATTAATTTG